ACAAGTTTCCCACGAAGAACGCGAGATGGCGCGCAGATCGCCATTCATCCCTCGGACTCCTTTCCGCCGACCGGGAAGCCGAAAAGGATCGCGATCTTCCGCGATCGGCCGCAGGAGCGTCATCCTCACATCAGTCGAATCCGACGACGACGCCGCAGAACGCAATTGGCTTTTCAATTGACACCCGCAATTGTCTCAGAAGTTCAATCGAGGAGCATGCTCCTTTCAAGCGTCAAGTACTATAAAGTACTCGAAAAGTGCGGGATCCCGATCGAGCGAAACGTCCACGAGATTGGGTACTGTGGCACCGCGGTTTCAGGTTAACGTGTCTCGTGCAGTAGTACTGCACAGTACTTGAGCGAGGGGAACCGCCAGATCTTACGGGATGGAACGCCGTAGACGAATCTTTTTTTTATGTTTGTTGATACGTCATGGATATTTGCCTGTTCATCAATAGATAAATAAAATTCTATAAAAAAAAATGCTCGTGTGGTACAACGCGGTATGCGTTTTTTTTTTTTTAGTTCTGAAGTTGCACAAAAAATTTCCTTTTTCTTTCTTCGGATGACGATGAACACGGAAAGGTTAAATATGGATGCACGCAGTTATGACAAATATGTAAAAAAAAAAAAATTTGCATTTTTGTCGTAACTTGCAAATGAGAAAAAGATTTGCGGAATCACTCGCAGGTCTTACGTAAAATCGATTTCCCACAAAATAAAGTTCAGATTTAGAATTGACGGGGGAAATATATTTTTAAACGTTTTCCCCCGGGGCGGGGCGGGGCGGGGCGGGGGAAAATGAAGAAGCTGTCTAAATATACCCTACAACTATTTACATTTTTCTACTTTCCGGGATATTTCCCAGCTACCGTTCAGAATCAGTTTCCATGAATTTTTCCGGAATCAATTCAGGAATTGAGGTATCAGCGCCTGGAATGAATCGACTCGGCCATCTTTCTCCGCCATTCCCGCGTCTCTTCTCCGCCATCGACTTGATCCGAGAACGAGAATTTCGCTTCGCGGAAGTTTCCGCACGGCCCGGCACGAGCCTCCTCCTTTCCTCGTCGATCCAGCAGGGAAGCGCTCCCCTTACCCCCCCCCCCCCCCCTCCATTCGACATCCAGTGTTGAAGCGATGAAGGTCTTCGGAGGTTTCGCTGCTTTCGTCTTTCTGCTTCGTCTTCGCGGATGTCTTCTGCAGACTTGTCCCTCGGCTCCCTCATACATCATGCGTGAGTCGACCTCATCCTATTTTCCAAAAAATATCCAATAAAAATTGTGCTTAGAGTAAAAGCCTTCCCATGCGGTAAATGGACTCGCAATCGCGTTCCCTTCCGCTCAGACGAGAAATTTCACCTCAGTTCTAAGAGGCTGCGCGAAGGATGTTTTCGAACGAAATATGTTGCACTGTGAACGAAGTCTAGGTTCCTTATTCCAAAAACCAAATGATATTGATCGCACTGGAATCCTAACTTGTATCCCCACGACCTGGAAGCATCCGCAAGGCATGTGTGATTCCAACACGCAAGGCACGAATTTAAATATAAATCAAATAGAATTTAAGAGACAAACTGACTCGAGAACGCACCCGGGATACGGTGCTATAGCTTATGCCAAGCTGGGCTGCAATTCGACGCGTCGAGAGGCCATGGTCGACGAGTGAGGCGATGCTGTCGCGAGTTTGTTGGGAAACAGGTTTCATGTTGCCAGGAACGTTCAAATGGAACCCAATCCCACCCAAGCCTACGGCATCTACACTTAGGCAAGCTACAGGCTTGCTTAGGTGGCTTCTGACCAGCTTTCATTTGGGAAATGGGAGACTGTGGGGGGGGGGTTTATATCGTGGATGGAAAGCGTGGGACGTAGGGACAAAACTGTTGCAAAGACCTGGTTAGCTTTCAACAGCTGCAGCTCATCCAATAGGGGGCCAATTGACATGTGACTAGCACCAATCCAAAACCAGGAAGTTGAAGTACGTTTGACTGAAATTTATATAAAATTGAACTCGTCATACTCGAGTTATGAGTCATAAACTGGCAATGTGTCGAACATTGCAACAGTTCTGTCCCTCCCTGTATACTCTCTACTCCAGGAGTGTCAAACATCCAGCCCGCCGTCTGTTCTTGAAATTTCCGCTTGGATTGACTGTTAGCACAAATTTCAGGGGAAAATTAAGGGGACGGCCCGCAGGCATCTGCAGGGTAAGGAATGCGGGCCGCCGACCGATTTGAGTTTGACACCCCTGCTCTACTCTATGGTTGCCCGCCAACTCACAAGATTTCGAAACTTATTTGACTTTCTTATCACTCATAAGAAATGCGAGTGGCAGCCACGATCAGTCACTGTGGTGCGACGCTTACAGCCAATAATCCCATTGAAACTGACGGAATCCTGCGTTTAACCGCATCTTTTCTTTTTGAATCTCTGCAGCATCGTATAAAGTAGGGCGACCGCGGGTCTCGAATGACAGGTCTCCACGACTGTATAGCCTTGCGCCCAAAGACAAATCCAGGGCATGCATCTTCTCGTCTGATGTTCCCGCATTGCCTTTATCAGACTGAGAGGAAGAGGCCATTCACCGAGCTGGGAGGACACCACAACTGGCACTTACCGCCTATTGGTGGAGGGGAAGGGATACGGGATTCTTTGACTGGGACATTCATGGAATTGGACCTTACACTTCAGAAACCTCCATCCCATTGAAGTGGGAGTAGCCACATTATATCAGAAGGCATGCATGCAACTGGACAAAACAATACAGGGTGATCATAAAGTCCCAATCCATTTTATTGTTAAACTCGAAATTCTTACCAAAATGCATAATGTGCACTTCACATTTTCAATAATGAACGAAATAAAACTGGTAATAGTAAATTAAAAATTAGTTATTAACATTTTTCTTACTAATGTTTCACATGACCACCTTCCAAATCGATACATAACTGGAACCAATCCGTTGTTTCCCTGAACATTCAGGATGTTCAGCATGTCAAGGGTTACAACAGCATAGATACGATCTCTTCAATCTTCAACATTGAGAGCCTTTGTGCTGTAAACCTTTGACTTAATGTACCCCCATGCAAAAAATCCAAGGGGGTTATGTCAGGTCATCTTGAAGCCAACATTCTGTTTGATCCTCGGCCAATCCAGTGGTTCGAGAACTTCTCATTAGATAATCTAGCACAATGTTCACAAAATGAAATTTGGGCTTCAAGAACCCTTGAGCTAACTCCCTTTGACTTTTTTGCATGGGGGTACATTAAGTCAAAGGTTTATAGCACAAAGGTTCTCAATGTTGAAGATACATCCTGAATGCTCAGGGAAACAAACCATCAATTCCAGTTATGTATCGATTTGAAAGGTGATCATGTGGAACTTCAATAAAAAAAATATTTAAGAACTGATTTTTAATTTACTATCACCAGTTTTTATTTAGTTTCTTATTGACAATGTGAAGTGCACATTATGCATTTTTGAAAGAATTTTGAGTTTAACAATAAAATAGATTGGGACTTTATGATCACCCTGTATAGGATGACATGCACCGAATCCGATTAAGCTAAACTAATCTGATCTCACAATGGCTCCCTATGGGAATCAGTTTAACCAAGATAAACTTTTCCCCATAGACGTCCATCATGAAAACGAAACAGTTTAAAGTTAAACGGATCTGGTACATGTCACCAATAATCTTGAAATCTGCTTTCTAACCATTCTGAAACTACCATTCATGAGTTACACAGTCAACACAGTGATGATTCCACAATTATAAGAATCGAGAGGGAGGTGGGAGGAGTGTTGAGGGGGAGGAACGATTGAAGGTTGCTTACACAAGGCTTACAAAGACTCAACCCTTTGAACCCTAGCTTCCATACCTGTATCCCCCCCCTTGGTTCCTGGGCAGGTCAGAGCACCTGTTGCTCAGGCTGGAAAACCAGCCTGATGGAGAGTCAACCTGACCATGCCTGGGTGAAAAAACTATTGGATCGACTGCGACGAGTGGTGAGTAGGACCAGGTGGGGCACAACTGCTAAGGCATCCAAAAGGACCTCAACACCAATGGCCTGGAGTCTGCCATCCAGGTCAGTCGTCAACCACAGGCGGCATTGTTTGGAGCTCACTACAATCGCACAGCAAGTCATCACGCTGGCTGCCTTGGCCTCACAACATCCCTGCACAACATTCAATGATTGAAGAGGGCCCGCCATGATAGGCTGAAACCTGGTAGATTGATGAAGGGTTGTCAAATATATGACGATTCATTGCCAGAGAGTCAGACCACTCTTTGCACTAGTGTCACAACACTGGCCCAGTTGGGACTGATGGCAGGTTCATCTAGAGCGGCTGCCGGAGTCGAAGACACTGGCTCGGTGGCTCTAACTATCTAGAGTGTATCTATCATTATAACATGATTGTGTGACATCACACAACCAATGGAGCTATGCATAGACTTACCTCTAGGATAGAACATGGGCAAATATGATTTAACAAAAAATAATCAATGATAATGCCACATTTAAGGATGAAGTGGGCAAGTAACTGCAGAAGAGAGTTGAACTGGTTGAGCACCTTGGGATCTATGGCCATCTGATTTGCACCTGTCCTCATATCTTTTTGTCCAGGATGTAATATCCAAGTAGTACTCAGCATAGGGAGATATCATATCATCCTATGACCGATTAAAAATTAGATTTTTCAGTGAGGGAAAGAAAAAGCCTACACCTTTTATGGAAACATCTGAATCTTCCTTTCTACCATCTTATTGGTATCAAGCCACTGGCAGAGATATAATCAATACATCAAAACCAAAGGGCAACAGACCATGCCTATCCTCTCAATCAATTGAACAAAGACATCAAGCAGGCAATTCACAAGTAGAGGGAAGAGATAAAAATGAACTTGGAAAAATGGGCTGGAAACAAATAATGGTAGCAGTATCATTGTAAGGGTTTTTATTGTACCCTCAAAAACCTAAAAGAAGACACAGCTTCATTTTACCTTGGCCCTGTTATTCCTTTTCACCTATTCATTAAGTAAGAATCATTCTGCTCACTGCCCACTATAAAATAAGTTTTATTTTTTTTTAATTTGACTCCAGATATATTTCCATAATGAAAAACAGCACAAGAATGCACATGCAATATACTGATGACAGGCTTTGAGAATACACTGGGATGTGAGGGAGCAATACTGAGATCCATGATTGGAGGAAGATAATCAAGATTTGAGCTTAGGGAAGGAAGCAAGGAAGGAGAGGGCACGAAGAGCAGCGTCTTTCTTCGCTTCTTCCATATCCACGCCACTTCCATGGCACACAGAAATAGGATGGGTTGCCAACTGCACCAAGCACAGCCGCTTGCCTGTAGCACCACCATTCGGCATAAAACACCATCATTGAGTCATATGAGAGCAAATGAAAGCCTGAATAAGGTACATTGTGCAGGATCCTCCTTGAGGTGTCCATTGAAAATACATTCATTATGCTTTTTCTCTATCAGTCTTAACTTTATGTTTCATTTCAACAGGGGTGAAAAGCACACCTCAGGGAGAAGCAAAATACAGGGTCATTCAAAGGTCATGCAACCCATTATATACAGCATGTTTTTCGAGGAACTTGAATAGAATATCTAAGCAAAACTAGCTTAAATTTAAAGGAACATATCTCACCTATGAATAAGTGTCATAGCAAGTGTTGGAAGTAACTACCACATTCCTGGAAGCACATTGTGACATGTTTGCACAAGTTTGCAGAAACATGATGCAAGGTTGAACAAGTATTAAATAGCAATAGCCTGTGAAATGTTTAGCTTCAACGTTTCCAAGTCTCTGGGATTGTTACCATATACTCTTTCCTTAAGTTATCCTCACAGGAAATAGTCAGATGACATCAAAGCTGGAGACCATGGTGGCTAGAGATTCTTGCCTGTGTGCGGTTGCTCTGTCCTCTTGAAACCATGAGTCATGCTCATTAATCTTTGACATGGCAATGAACTGCAGAATGATTATGTTAGCATTTACAGTTTCTGTAAAAAATCATGAGACCAACAATACCTAATACAACAGCTAATGTGTATATACTCTTGTTAAATATAGAACAGCACTTGTTTATTCATACTTATTTATATATAGGGTTGTGTGACTTTTGAAAGACCTTGTCCTTCACCAGAAAATGTGCCCTAATAAGGGTTTTTAAGAAAATAAAAAAGAAAATTATTGTATTATAAATAAAGCAAAAAAAGGCTAGTTTTAGTATTCAAAGAAAAGGATTCAAAACCTCATGTTAACCCCTTCACATATTAATTATTAAGGCTTTGTGTGTCAGGAAATAGGATTTATTTTGAACAAAAACAGCTTTCATTACATCACTTCCCTGTTCAAATTGACTGAAGTAAAAAACTTTATTCTCTTGCACTTCCACAAGATTGCTTTACTATTACTGTACAATGTCTGAAGTGCTATTCACTACAGTGTGACAGATTTCAAAGCAATCTAGAATATTCAAAGGAACCAAGAACTATTTGCATTGCCATTAAGTAATTTCACTTTGTTTTCATGGGTTCTTTTAAGTATTTGTTGGAGGAATGTGTTGTGGAAAGCATGTCCACTTTTACACTGGAAAGCACAACATGCAAAATGCTCTGAATCAACTAGGAAAGAGTTCCTTGAACTCTTGTGTCATAATCACTAATAAGTGATCATGACTGTGTGAGTGACAATGTAACTAGTGGCATCTTTGAGATACTCTGTAAAATAACAGACAATGCAAAATGTAGATGCAACATGTCATCATAGGTGAAGGGTTAAATGAAATTTGAAGGTATGGAGAGAAAACATAAGCTTTCCACATTGTTCCCTTTTCCTCTGTGAAACCAGCTGTAAGCTCACTGTCAGAAAGGAACAGCCTTTCAGAGCAAATCCACTCCCAAAACTTCAACCTCTCATAGGTCCACTAAACATGACAAAGAAAAGGAAGAATGAGAGATGTCCATACCTGACTTGGTGGTCTCCTCAATGTCAATGTATGTGATGTCAAAAATGTGTTCAATTCCAAGGGATTCCAATCTATCAACTGGATTTTCAACCCCTTTCTCCTAGGATGAGATGAGAAAAATCTCTTAAATCAGAGCATATCTTCCTTAAGATCCTCTAAATGGGTGGAAGGATGAGCAGAGACATACAAGAGTGGCACAAGTTTCAAGTGAAAGGCGGGGAAGGAAGTCTCTGTGAGCCTGAGAGATTCTCTGAGTGTGATGCGAAGACCCTCGATCCTTTCTGCTCCCTCGAGCTCCCCCAAACCCAAGATGAGACAACTGCAATGAAAAAAATTAATCATGGAAGGTCCTGGAACACAAACAGAAAGTTGCTTCTTGACTGAGTCAAGAGTCAACTTGAATAACATGAGTCTAGAGAGGTTTGATTGCTCTTATTTTCATTTCATCACAGTAAAAAGGTGAGGAAGGCTATTCCTGCTCATGAAAGCATGATTCTCTAATACTGCTAATCCAGAATGGAAAATATTATGAAGCTCACAGAGGATCTAAACCCAAGAGGCCAAACTCTCCTGGATATCAGTGATGAGGTTCAAATGTCAATATAGTCACTACTGCCTTCATGAATCTAGTGAGCAAAAATAATGACATCAGAATGGGGTAAGTAACTGAAACATTAATATCAGAGAGAATCATCACAAGGAACATGAGCTCACAGGGAGACAAGGTCACATTTGATCTTCCAATAAAACACTTTTACACAAAACATTACATTGCAGCAAAACAAGTCTCAAATTGAATCAGTGTGTATTGATATAGGTTGAGAAGAACAGAGGGCTGGGCAATTCCAGGATGGTCTAGCATCTGGTCTACCATTCAAACATTTTTCTGGCAATACATAATAGCAATGAAGATTCAACTTCCAGCAGTCTTGATACTCCATCTCCCCTTGAAAGCAAGACACACTAAAACTTTCTTCCAATAGGCATAATAAAAGAGGATGTTAGTCCTACACTTAGTCACTTCCAACTTATACCAACCATCTCAATTGGTCAAATAATTGGCAATAATGCTAGACTGAAATTTTCTTGAACGAGTTACATGGTAGTTTAGATGCATGACTCAAAGTCAAATATAGTGATTGGAGCATTCACAATCAAATGGGGACAATATATAAGTCCAGAAACCAAAAGCCTGGGTTCAAAGCACATGATGTACAAAGTAATTGAGCTTGGAAACTAAAGGGGTTGATTAACATTTCAAACTTAACAAGAGAAACAAAGAATTTCAAAATGACATTCAATTAAGAAATTTTCTATTTCCATCAATTTTCACTAAAACTTATGGAAAATTCAAATTTGCCTAAAAACCCAAGATATTACTTTCAAATTTCTCTTTGTATGAACCCTGGATCCCACAAGTTGGAGGATCTATCCAGCATCTTCACGCGGGGGAGATGTACACTTGCCCATTCAGAATTTCATTATGTTCTCATGTCCTTCATGGGCATTGAGGCCCAAAGTTGGGAAATAGGCAAACTAAGCGACCTGCTCCATTTTGCTTCTTGATGAAGCAGTATAGAGAAACAATGATTTGTTGCCCCATAAAAAAAAGAAATATTTAAAATTAGTAAATCCCATCCATTGGGGAGATTTCATATCTAACCCTCTCAGGTCAACCAAGGATGCTAAAAATTATACACTAGGCATAAGGTCATGGCACAAAACCATTCAAAAATTTTCCTATGAAAACAAGGGATAGTTTAGCAATACTGTCAGTCCACTTGAGGCATGAGACATCTTTTTTTCAAGCCATCCTTCAACAATATCTTACCTCATCATCATCTTCCAAGAGTGTGCCATTCCTTGACTCAGGAGGTAATTCATCATGTAGGACCTGCATCATTCTGTGAGCAGCTTGCCGTTTGGCAAGCTTTTTGCTCTTCCCAGCACCTTCATAAAGAGAACGTAAGTAAGTTTATTCTACTTCATTCGTAGCAGAATGTATATGATACATTTGAGATGTGAACAGACCTATCTCTCGATGTTTCCCTACTATGACAGCCAACTTGAAATTCCTCTCATGGGGAAGACCCTCTTCAGCTATCATCTCATAGACAGGAGGGGGCCACCTGCGAGCCATGCAGAGCTCTTGCAATGCTCCTACTGGGTTCCCCTCTATTCCATCATCAAATGGAGCCATCATTCTGGAAGGGGGGATAGAAATATGACACTATGATATTCCATTTGAGACATTGCACTATTAGTGTATCTCAGTGGCTAGATACTGATTGAACTAGTTCTTCTTTCAATTATTCACAGCTCATCATGAAACTGCTCTGTCTCAGGAGTGAAAAAGTCACTCATGAAGGAAACCATATAGATGCACAAGAGCAATATTCCTAAGACCTAGTGATACCTTTTATTTCTTTCTGGGCTATGCAAAGGGAATAAAATTACATCAGCTCAACATTATAGAGTAAGTGCATTAAAATAAGCAAAGGAAGGCATAATCATAAGAAAAAGTATGTAGGGTAGAGGCACCAGTTTGTGGACAGTTTTGCATTTTTTGCCACTTCACAAAATTCATTCTAAAAATTTATTTCCTCAAATGCTCCATATTTTGCGCATACCTGTCAGCCACCATATAAATTATGTATACCCATCTACATGAGTGAACTTGGACATTTTCACTTAATTTAAGACTTAACACCACTGAATTCTTTAATTTTCCAGTGATATTTCTTAATAGGACATCATTGAAGATGAATAAAACTGCTGTACATAACTCATGCCCATATTTTTATATTCAGCCTATGCACATTCATAATTGTTGGCAAAAAGTGGTGTCCACAAACTAGGTCCATGGATGTCCACAAACTGAAATCAAGCCATCCACAAATAAGAACCATGTGAAAATCAACACATATCCATTTATACAGCTATTGTTGGAAAAGTACATTTTTAATCTTTCATTTTAGGGTATGGGCATCAAACTATGATAAGTGACCACCCATTGAGATCAACCGAGGGGTTTCTCAGTTACTCCAACAACCATAATGCAATTTTCAATAGGAAATTTTCCTTAACCTGTCCACAGCCATTTTGTCCATATTTCATGGTGTTATTCTATTTGAAGTTTTTGAGCAATTCAACCATGAAAATTCTGAAGTTTATGGTTCCAAAGGTGGTTTCAGAGAGAATTTGTAGTAGAAGGTTCAGATGAAGCCCTTGGTCAAATTCATGGCTGATGAGAATTCTGGCCGTGAACTTGGCAATTCTGATTATGACTTTTTAACATTAGAATCTGATAGTATCTGGTAACTATTGGCCAACCATAAATACCTAATTGTATTTTTTGACAAATATATAACATTAATATAAATAATTACCTCAGAAAACAATCAAAGTGTGTAAAGCAGATTTCTAGCATGTTTTCATTCAAAATCAGTGAAGCCAGTGTGAGCAAATTAGTAATAAAAGTGACTTTTTGAAGATTTTTCGATAAATTCAAGATGGTCACCATTTGATGATGTCATATATGCAAATTAGGTTTAAAAAATTATTTTCACAATAGACTATGAATCATGCCTAATAACTTTTTCCATTACGGCAAATGTCTATCTATACTCTTTGAGTAGCTGCAGGCTTCTAAAAGAGGCATTATAAATTTCAGCAATTTACAGAAAAAATTAGTGCTTAAAGGGTTAATACATATCTGCAGAAGCGTTTAAATAAATTTAAAAAATAAGGTTTTATTTTAGCATAAGTAAGCATAGTTTTCTGGTCATCCTATTGAAGAAAACACTAACAAAAACCTCTAATTTCTTTGAAGGGAGCTATTATTTGCCCTTCTCAAAATGAAAACTCCACTATACTCTTAAAAACATCTCTGGTACTTATGAAGATATTCCACACCTGAATTCACTTAAAATAGGGAAACCTCTAACAACTTTTCCTCTCTTGAATTCTCTAGCTCCCAAATGCCAGCAATAACTTAGTCTGTATTTTGATTAAGCCTACATTTTCATATTTAAAACATTTGTAGGCTTCTTTTCATAAAATACTTCAATTTCAAAAGGAAAAATAAAACTGGAACTATGCATCTTAAAACTCTGCCCTTAAGAGCACAGAAAGAGCTGAATCAAAGCAGTCATTAACATACTCTTCATCAAAGTAGGTCAAGTTTGGTTTTGCAACTTGACTAATAACCTTTGACAATTGAATGAATAGAGGCCATTTGCATCATTTAGTGAATAATGAAAGGGAGTGATCCATTATTGAATTTCACAATGATTCCTCACTCTAATGTAGTCACATAATGATAGCCACAGAAGAACCAATAGTGGGGTGAAATGACATGGAAGAAGCAGAAGGAAATCATGAATAACATACATGTCTTTATTGAGAGGGATAGCTGAAATGCTTGATTCACTGATTCTTCCAGACTTTATCATCACCTGAAGAATGGCTCTTGCTGCTGCATGCTTGGCCTTCTTCTTACTTTGTCCACTTCCATATTCTAAAAAAAAAATAAACCATAATGCTTCCTCGTTTACTTACTGAGGGCTGGAACCCTTTACTTCCATCATGCACACGGAAATAGCAAGTTGCACTGACAAAGAAATGGTTTGACCTTAGGGGAATGTTTAATAGAAGGGGTGAGAAAATATTTCATGGCAATGTTTCCATTATCTTACTTGTCTTGTGAAATGCCAATCTGAAAAATTACTGGTATTCCTTGGTCTTGTGCACACTACCAATTCATAGGATGTTCTATCCTATAATCAGTAATTAATCATGAAATATCCAAAAAATGAAAAAATAATGAGAAAAAAACTTATAGAAGGGACAATAAATGGCTTTTTGGTCAAAAGTTAGCTTTTCCCTTCTTTCTATACTCCATGTTTGGGGGTGGGCATGTATCTCTGCTCATAAGCTACTTACATAGCATGCCTCATTTTAACTTTAAAATAAAAATCACATTGAAAATTGATGAAGAGGTAATTTGGAAGACTCTGACAATGGTGCACACCCATCTTTCTGATCCAATTGCCAAGGTATTTTAATTTTGAATGGTTTGTCTCAATTGAATGCTAGAAGACATGGCCATGTTCAAAATTTGAATAGTGTGTCTGACTTGAATCTTATGGGATGGTTAATTAGGATAATATATATGCATCATGGATCAACACTACTGTTATGATAATTTACCTAGTGCCGCTTCTGCTCTTATTAAATCATGTTTCTATATTTCTATAAGTGCTACAATATCATCATTTGTTATATGCCATCCAATTTTTTAAATTAATTATTGGGATTCAAATGGTACCCAAGTTTTTCTTCAACTTTTTGCATATATTTTTTTTAATTCATGCACCAAATGCAATTGTAGTTCATTTAATTCATAGAAATGTCCCTATAATGAAAAAAATCAGAAAATAGGCAACTTTCCTTGTCACTCTTCTTAGATTGGGTCTCAATTGGGAGGATACCTTCTGCATTTACAGTTGTCCAACTAAGATTACCAAGATCAAAGAAATTCCATAAATAAATAAATTAAACAAGAAAAACTACATGAATAAATGAAACAAGAGTTATCGCCTGGATTCTGTAGAAATTAACTTGCTCTAAGTATACTTTGGCTTGATCAACTTTGTACACACATCATGCCTCTCCATGGCCATCTCTCCCACATCCAAAACCATGATGCATGCTCCAAGAGCACATGAGAGATGGCATCAGATATGAGAAATCAGAGAGTGACTAGTCTGGGGCATGTAATATGTCTTGGATGATAGCAAGACCTCCTCAACTTCAGTTTAAACAAATGGAGAGTAGAAATTGGAAGCACTTCAAAACATCAAACCATATGTTTCCTGCACAAATTTCAGTTTGTCCCATGATACTTGCATGTGGCAGTTTATAGGGTCTCACCCCTTACCCACAATATCACTTATCTCTCTCTAGACTAGGGGTGTCAAACTCAAATCGGTCGGCGGGCCGCACCCATAATTTTCCCCCGAAATTTGCGCTAACAGTTAATCCAAACAGAAATTTCAAGAAATTTCAACATACGGCGGGCCGAATGAACCACCTCTGTGGGCCGGATCCGGCCCGCGGGCCGTATGTTTGACACCCCTGCTCTAGACAGTACGCAACTAGGATAGTCAAAAAACAAAAACAAAAATATTTAGCTTTAAGAGGGTTAGGCCTACCCTAAAATTAAGGAATGCTCAACCTCGACACATGATATTGAAATGGGTGAAATCGCCTCTTGATATCACTAACAATCTTGAATCATGCATAATCATTGTCTTGGCATTGCTAACATCAAGGGGAAGGAAGGAATGACAAGAATGTGGAAGATCACTCTCACAAAAATGAGGAGGAATAAGACAAAAGGGTGAAAGAACCAGAGAGAGGTACAAGGATTAAACCATGATTGGCTTCCCTCACTCCCATCATAGGCCTAGGCTTACAGGATGGAGTGTGGACATATGGCAAAGCTAACCTAGAACTGGGGGAGCATGATGGTGGGAAGGTGTGAACATGAACAATACTTTTTTTCTATTCATTAACAGAGAGCAGTGTAATCAGCATGCCTGGGTAGAAAACCAAAGGTCTTACCAATGAATTCCCCCACTGCCACTCGATAACGAAATGTGGGTTCATGGACAGAGCCTTCAATCTGGACAAGGTCATACTTGGGTGTGAGCTGCATCTTGACACAAAGCTCTTGAAGCAAGGAAACAGGGGTCTTCCCTCCCATTGAGAATCCCCTCCCAGGATCCTTGCCAATCTCACACTTCTCTGAAGACTCATATTCTCCTTCCAAGTCTATATTCTCACTATCCACACTTAGCATCATTCCACTATGGATGCTGGAGTTAACATCTCACCAACATCAAAGACACATAGCAACTGAAGAGCTGAAACTAGCTTCTACATATCTGTAAGAGGCAGCAAGACAATAACAGCAATGAATCTGAGACACTAGTAACAATATTCCATACTTTTTTAATTTTTCCAGTGATTAGATGGGCAGTAATTGTTATGTATGTGCTAACATAGCAGAGTAGGAGTATCCTTTCAACATAGTACCTGTAATGTTGGAGCATGATTTATTTAAGGAGTATTAAATAAGAAAAGGGTGAAGGGTCCCATAACTCTGGTCCTTCTTCTCCAATGGAAGTATGTCTCTCATAATGGGTTATCCTAATATGTCAAAATTTATAGCATATTTAGCAGGTTTAGACCTGGGCTATTTCTAAGAAAGGCGAATAAATTCATCTTAAAGGATTCTTCTAATGAAAGCGTTGTATTTTATCGGGAAATAATCCCAGACTACCAAATATGAAAACAGACCAGACTTACTTTATTGGGCATGTAGCCTAGCGGCTTTCAAGAAAGGCTAGGATTAAGACTCATTACAGCTGTCTTACTTCGTTTATAACGTCAGGAAATTTTTGCGACTGCGAAGTGACAGAAGTACTTTTCTATCTTATGCCAGCAAATCAGTCGAAAGTCATTCGGTGTCGCACGAACTATTACAGCAGCGATAGCACGTGGCTCGGTCTAAGGGAGACATGCGAGCAGACATATTGAGTCGTGGTTCTTTCTCTTCAATGTAGAGTTCCAGTTCAATGCCACAATTTGTTGAGACGGACAAGTTTCCATTTGAATAGCGTAAGTAACAGTTGTGGGCTATGAGCATGATGACTAGGATTACCAGAGTCAAGTATTTTGTTACAGTTGTGAGGCAAACCGCGTCCTGTTCGACGCTATGTAAAACCTGCTGTAAAAGTGCATGGCTTATAATTTTGTTTAGGGGCCGTTCACAAATTACGTAACGTGATTTTTTAACTCTTTTACCCCCGACCCTCACCCCTGTAACACTCCGTAACAAAAGCTTCGACCCCTTCCCTCATCCTTTATAATTTTTCATAAGATTCACACAAGTAAAATACATTTGAAAAAGAAACTCGTTTATTAAGCACTCATAACTGACACTGGGAATATACGAAAAAACGCCCACTGAAAAAATGCCCACGGAAATAATGCCCACAGAAAAAACGCCCACGAGAAGAAATGCCCGCAGAAAAAACGCCCATACCTGCAAAGTACGAAAAAATGCCCACTTGAATATATTTCTGGCTTTTATTTTCTTTATTCTGCAAAAATACTTCATATTATTGATTGCATAGCTGGAATAATAAAAAAATTTTAATATATAGAATTGGTGGCGCCAATGGTGGTGGTCTTTGCAAAGTGGAACTTTCAACAGCTTAATTTTCTCTCATAACGATATGTCCCACTCCGCGAACGATAGTGCTTTACATGGGTTTAGGAAAAAAGCCACTCCTTTGAATATAACTTTTCGTCCGCCTTTCTGGTTCGTAATGAACTCCATGGTTACTTGAAGTGAAATGAATAAAGTATGAGACACTGTATTTATATTATCATCCGTCTGTAGATACTGTACTTCGAACAATGACATCTTCTCCTCCCATACTTCACAGGGGGCACGAGGGGTTTGTCACTCAAGAGTCGGTAGAGTCTTGTCTTAAACACTACTAAAGATTTTCTCACATGATCCTCTGAATGGAGCTTTATCTTTTAGCCTTCCATAGGATCGATATACCCCTACCTCCGAGATAATTGCAGGCGACCGTACCTTCTCATGTCAAACGTCGCATGTCACACTTCAATTACCCCATTGCTATCGGAACGAGTCCAAAGGATGGGCGAATTAGAATAATCCCACACACCAGATCTTATCTCAAATGACTTTTTCCCCACGTTTTCCTGTGCATTCCCGGAAACAATCCTCCTTTCATCGATCCATCGTTTAAACATTCTGGAATGTAAATCTTGGGAATGTATGCCTTCATGTTTTATTATGTTGATACATGGGATATATATAATGCATTAAATGGTTATAAATAATTATTTGAAAATATAGTCCATTTATTTTTACCAGAAAAGAAGAAGCCGCAAGAGATATTTGGAAAGATGCAAGTGGGCAATTTTTCGTACTTTGCAGTTATGGGCGTTTTTTCCGTGGGCATTTTTTCTTGTGGGCGTTTTTACAGTGGGCATTATTTCCTTGGGCATTTTTTCAGTGGGCGTTTTTTCGGGGCACCGACACTGGATTACACACATTGAGAGATGATTAAAACGTTTTAAAAAAGGAAAGGTAAAGTTTTTACTTTCATTCGGTTCCTTCTTCAAGAAAATAATTTTCCTTTGTCTATGTTCATTTTGATTGATGGTGATCACCCATTTGAGATTAAAATGTAAAAAAAGAGTAAAAGGAGAGGAGAAATGTAGGGTAGAATGGCGAAAATGGAGATTACGATCCCGAGAGAGAGGCGAACGAGGGCAACGACCAAAGGGTAACTAAGCCTGTTTGGCCTGTCTGGGCAGGTCCAAGCATGAAACCCCGACTGGGCGAGTTTTGCAACAGGGGAGAGGGAAGTCAACAGACGCTCCCACGCTTCCGATGCCCACTCCACTGTTAGGGTGATGGGTGCGGGTGGGTAGTAGGGTTGGCTCTGTGTCGTGTGAGTCACTTCTTACTAAACAATTACCCTTCTAATGAGAAATTCCAGTCCCATAATTTTTTTTTCGTGAAAAAAACCTGTTACGTCACATTCGTACAATCCTCCCCCTGTAACAATTCGTAACACTTTGTCTGATCCCCCCCTCCCCCCTTTGTGTTACGTAACTTGCGAACGGCCCCTTATATCAGAAGAAATACGATAAAAGATACTGCTCTTTTATTTCAAGGTTTAAAGTCTCTAAGTCGGCTCTTCCTTCTCCAGTCCTACTTAAAACACATATTTCCATTGAGGCCTCCATTTCTCAACTGGCGCTTGAAGAAATTGCACTGAGGGAGGCACTATACCAAGAACGCAGCCGTAAAAAAAAAGGCTTTATGGCGTCAAATCAGAGAAATATTTTGAGCAGTGTAAAATCGGTTTCAGCCTGAAATGCGGAAGAGCAGAATGAAAAATTTTTTCCTTCAGGTTTGAATGACTAACTTTCCATCTAAACGACCGGACCATTTTAAATTCTTAGGAAACAAGGGTTTTCTGAAAACAAGCCAAATGCCACAATTACGTGCATTCCAGAAAACACTTTTTATATTTAAAAAAATAACTCATCTGCGACTAATATGAATCCAATTTTCAGCGATATAGTATCCTTGGCTTTTTTTCTTATTTAAACTTCTATGTTGAAATTACATTTTCTCCTCCAAACTGAATTCGGGCAGAAACTGTTCATGTACCACATTCCCATATCCACTATATGAACTATCTATATGAACTCGTCTTGCTATTTTCATGCTTCCTTTTTAAAATCAGGATAATTTGCCTATGCATGTTAAAGAAAGAAAGCCTTCCTCAAAGAAAGACGAGGATATCAGGAGCATCCGGAAAAGCTTCCACGATGATCTTGGTCTTTCCGAAACGAGCACCACCACTGTTCCATTTTATTAATATATTTCTTTAGGCATCCTTCCATCGGTTTGGATCACTCGTCCTCCCTTTCCTTTTCCTCTCTACGAACGACCATGACCATACAGCTGGAGACCTGTCTGGCATCTAGCGGGAGCATGAAGATTCCCTCTCGCTTCGAACGCATCCGAGCCGCCTCAGGATCACTATCATATTGCTTGCAAGGGTACTGAAGCAGCGAACGATATGAAAAAAGTGCGTATGGTCCCTTGCGTCCTTTTTAAAGAGAAAACTCCTCAGGCAGCGTATTTTCTGCTAAACAGAGAAATTACATACGTACCATTTCTACAGTCGGTTTCACGTTGCGCGAAACAGGATGCGCTTTTTGCGCCACCCGGTATGTCGATGAGAGTGAAGACTCTCAAGACTCTTTCCTCACTTCATACCTAGCGGGACCTTGCGTCTCCCTGGATATCACTCTTTCCTGGTCGGATGTAAATGTTCGATTATCTTTCTCTAGACATGAAGTCGTCCTTCATCATTTAATCAATTTTAACCACGTCTTTCATCGTGTTTCAGTGCGGTACACAGTGAGACGACATTCCCTAACCCCCCCCAAATATTATAGCTGATACGGAAAACACGATATGCTACGAGGATGCAGGGTAAAGAAAAGGGGGCGCCAAAGTCTACTTAAAACACTGGAGTTCGCTACAAGCTTCCCTTCGAAGCCCCCTGTACCTGCTCTGGGGATTCATTTCAACTCTTCTACTTTCTCTTTTCCCGCAAGGGAAGGAACACATTTGCAGTTTTTTGTGCAGGATACATGCAGGGTGTGACAATAAAAGGTATGTACTATTCTCTCCTTTCCAGCAGCTGCAGCTTTCTTTCTAACAATACGGGTCTACCTCCCCATACGAAAGGGTAAGGACTCGTCTCGTATGGCACGTCATTCGGTTGCTTTACCTTGCATACCGATTACGATATCACCGTGTGAGTGTAAACGTGTGGTTAATATTAGGGCCGTCACGATAGATCGATGCATCGACACCGCTATCGATAGTTGGAGATATCGATAGTTTTGTCGACCATCGCGATGCATCGGCAAAATATCATAAAGGGGAAATGTCCCATTGGATCGAGGCGAGTACGACTGTAGATACTGTACTTCGAACAGTGACATCTTCTCCTCCCATACTTCACAGGGGGCACGAGGGGATTGTCGCTCAAGAGTCGGTAGAGTCCTGTCTTAAACACTACTGAAGATTTCCTCACGTGATCCTCTGAATGGAGCTTTATCTTTTAGCCTTCCTCATGGTCGACGTGCCCCTGCCTCCGAGATGATTGCAGGCGACCGTACCTTCTCGTGTCGAACGTCGCACGTCGCGCTTCAATTACCCCACTGCTGTCGGAACGAGCCCAAAGGATGGGCGAATTAGCAACATAATCCCACACACCAGATCTTATCTCGAATGACTTTTTTCCCACGTTTTCCTGTGCATTCCCGGAAAC